TAATTATTTCGTGTGACATTGCGTTGGAATCGAGCTGTGTTGTTTACCATAGCGTTCATTTCGTGAGTATAGTATATTCGGAACAGTTCGGCCTCTCTCCAGCTTTGTCCTGACGGTCCCTTTATATGTGTGGCTGGGCTGCGGCTGCACCCTTTCCCCTTTCCGCCCCTCCTCGGATGAGCTTTGGCCATTTCTGCCAAGGGGCGCCGAAGCCCTTCAGCCTCCCCCTCCCCTCTCTCCCCTCCCCTCCCTCCGGGTCTTTGCTGTCTGCAGTGAGGTGGTGCCTGTGCCATCCCTCGGCCACCTCCCCACCCTTAAGCTGGCCTCCCCCGCCCAGCCCAGCGGAGCTCCAGAGGAGATGGAGGTGGAGTGTCTTCTCAACCCGACCGGCTGCGTGCGCTCTCCCCCCTCACAGCGAGCCAGCTACAGCCTCACCAAGGAAGCTCCAATGGGGTGGCATCCTGTGACTTAGTGCTGCCCCAATGCCGTATGGTGAAGCATCACAGGCTAGTGTTACTGGTAGGGTTCTTTTGAAATGAGCTAGGATGGAGTCCGAGGAAGCAGTGATTTTATCACCTTGAACACTTTGTCTTGAGTGCTCAACCAGACCCATGGCACTTGTTTGTCCAGTAGGCAGTGTAGCGGTTCTGGCAGGGCAGCCTTATCCGGTAAGCAGGAATGATAAAAATTGAGCAAGCCCAGGAATGCTTGGAGCTCCCACTTGGATTTTGGTGTGGGGGCTTGCTGAATTGCCTTTAGCTTTGCTTTAGATGGGTGGATTCTAGCAGCGTCAATGTGGAAACCCAGGAATTCTGTGGATTTCATGCCGATCTGGCACTTTTTCCTTTTGAGTTTTAGGCCTGCCTTGCAGAAATGTTGGAGTACTGTACGGAGACATTTTGCCAGGACTTCCACTGATTCCCCAAAGTATGGGCATATGCCAGGAATGTTCTTCAGTGTTTGTTACATAATACTTTGGAACAACCTGATGCTATGCTTACCCAAAACTGCAAGTGGTGCACTCAGAATGCACCTCTGTGACTATTATTTGTGCTTCTGCCGTAATGTCATCTACTTCTAGCTGCTAGTAGGCCTGGGCGACGTCCAGCTTAACAAAGATTCGGCCTCCCTGGAGTGAGGCGAGAATGTGGCTTGCCGTTGGTACTATAGTGTAAATATGCTGCTGTAGTGCCTTGCTTATAGTGCACTTGTAGTCTGCGCAGATGCAAATGTCCCCATTAGGCTTAATTGGGGTCACTATGGGAGTTTCCCAATGGCTGCAGTCCACTGGTTTAAGCACTCCCTGCCATACCAGCTTGTCTAGTTCCGCATCAATTTTAGGCTTCAATGCAAAGGGAACCATACGCGGTTTTAATCGGATTGGAGTTACTGCTGGATCAAGGTTTAATGAAATGGATGCCCTTTGTATTGTCCCAGTTCAGTGCTGAATACGTCAGCATATTGTTGGCATACCACTTCTAGATTGGCTATTTGGATTCAATAGATGCCCATTATTCTGATGCCCAGGGCCTTAAACCAGTCCAGTCCTATGAGGCTGATGTGTGACCCCTCTACAACCATTATGCTGAGGAACCCTCGAATTCTCTGAATTGTACTGTAATGGTAGCATCAGGAACATGATGATTCTGGAAGTCCTTTAGCACTAAGTTCGATGATTTGAGCAGGATCCCTTGAAGTTTTGGTTGGTGTCTGAGGGGGCGTTGGGCCCCTGTGTGTTGGATGCTGTGCCTTTCTGAGCAGTATTCAACTCTGTTCTGTCCTAGGGGTCTTTTCCCTTTGTGCTGCTGTGTTGCAGGTTTCGTTTCCCACTGACGACCTCTGCAAACTCTGGCAATGGGCCCTTGCTTTCCACAGGCACAGTATACTGCTGTGCGGAATCTGTACTCTGCTCTTTCACGCTGTCCCTTCAGCTTGCACAGCTCTCTGGGGGACTTTCTTGCTCTGTGGAGCATGGCCTTCTGGGTGGCTCTCTCCACAAGCAATCAATTCTTCTATCTCATTGACCTCCCCTGAGCCTTCTGCGGTCTCTTGGCGGATCACTGGGCGGCACTTAGGAGTCCTGGGGATGGATTCCACAAGTATGTCTGCATCTCAGTGTGTCTTACTGGCAGGCAGGGTGGGGACTGTGGTCCCACTAGGGCTCTTTACCCTGTCTGACACCCAGTGATTTCAGTGTGCCTCCAGTGTTATTTACTGGTAAGCAAGAAAAAACCAGCATAGATACAATTTATTGACTCAAAATTGGAACTGAGGAACAGCAGGCAAATCTTTGTAATTTATACTCTGGGCCCACAGGGCCTCAACAAATCATAATATTTGAAAAAGCCCACCCAAATATGAATGTTCTAAGTTTCCCTTAAAAACACTTGAAGTTAACAGTTAGGGTCATCTAAAGGTTAGTTTCTCTTTAGCAGGGCTTAACACAACATATATTCAATACGTAACAGGAAAGATTCCTCCTTTTCCAAATCCAGTGTCTATTGTCTCATAAAATACATGCTTTGCCTAAAGAAATCCCAAGGTCAACCCTTTATATCTCTAATTAAAACTCTATTTGAGACTGTTGAAAGAAATGTCCATCTGGGTTCAGTTCCAAGTGGGGAGAAAGACACTGGAAACATGGAGGCTATTTG